CCCAGTCCAGCCAATTCTGCCTCCGTCCCCAACTCCCTTTGTCCCCACTCCTCCATTGACCAGCGCACCTGCCCCTGAGCCTCCTGCCCCATCACCCCCCGCTCCTGCTCCTCCTACTCCCGCTCCCCCGGCTCCGGTCGAAGAACCTGAGCAGCCCGTTGAAGAGTGCCCAGCTCCCGAGCCAGAGCCTCAGCCAGAGCCTCAACCCGAACCTCAGCCCGAGCCTGCACCCCAGCCAGTGGTTGTCCCCGAGCCAGCCTACACGTGCAAGTGCGCAGCATAAGGTCTTCCCTCTACACCAGCGTCTTACTATCGAAAAGACCATACAGTTCAGGAACACCTTTCGCCATATTTTCTTAACCTTCTTACTGTGAAAATTGACCTGTCAATTGCCTCTAACCTCTTTGGTCCCAATGAGTCTGTGGGGAGGATGCAGTTGAATTATATATTGATTTTTAGTTTCTAGATGTATTTGTCACTCGATGTTAATTCAGCTATTGAATTTGTATTTCTTATCATATTGTGATTTCCTTTTTCTATCTTATGTGTCTGCTTTCGTTCTTCAACATAGTAATGGTAACTACTCCGTGCTATTGAAATCGATCCCAAAATATCTACCAATTTATCTACCACCTTGGGCGACTCCTGAGGAGTGGCAACTCACATTTGTGATATCGTAAATAACAACCTATATATGCATATGTAGAGGGAATTAAAAGGAAACAATCCAAATATTCTCGCCATGTTCTCAATATCAGATATGTCATATAGTAAAAAATACCAACCTACCTAGCCATATTAGGCGAGCCATTACTAATAACATGCTGACAATTGTTACAACTTACGTTCGAATGTGATCCATCGGGTTTCATCATATCAATAAATACCGGATTAATTTGTTCTTGCTATTTTAATCTGGTTCCAAATGGTGGCGCGCAATGTATATAGTCATGTTGACGGGTCTCATCAGGAAGTGGATCCTTCCCTGCAGGTCATCTTTTGGGCAAAAGTTTTTCTGTTTACTAGTTTCAGGAACTAGCAGTTGTCTTATTATTGAGGACCAGTACCTGCATAATGAGATATAGTTATGGTGCAGAAAGAGTAATAATCGAAAATGGGGAAATAAAACGAAGAAAAACGGGGCTGGGAATACTTAATTTTTATACATCAGCCTCCAATTCTTAAGCAGCATTGGCGAGAAGGTAAGGTTCCGACATGGTGTATCGGATGAAGCCACAATTATGTTAGGAGTCACCTGTGGAAAATGAGACATCTTGTGCAGGTACAGATACGAAAGCATATAAAATTATTGAAGTTTATCTGGAAATTACTACCCGGGTCCTGAATGACTTACCGCTGAGTTAATGCTATACATTGGGTTCTGCTATTGTTTACATATCGTGTCGGGGTCGAGCCGTGGACCGGGAATCTTACGTTTGTCCTGGAATGATTACAGAGTATAAGGGTAAGAGATACATGCTTGATTAATGTCTAAATCACCTGCTAATGTTGAGCTGCAATACTCCGAGACTCGTGTGTAAACCATGCCATCATGAATGTAACCACTGCGCCAGAATAAGAAGTGAAGAAAAGCAGGAAACTCGAAGCCGGGATCATAACTGTGAGATAATTTCAATCATACTCCCATCGTGAAATCGTGTTCAATCCCTGGTGTCACACTAGCAATGAACTTTAGGAAAACAACCAAATACTGATCCACTCTGATGGCAACCTGTTCTTCTTCATGGTGCTGTAAAACCTCCCACTCATCTCCGCCGCTCTTATCACTGCCCTGCTGTTGTTGATCACTCAGGGAGAGTGCCTTGATGTCATCGACTAACCCCTCCAGGCCGCTTTCGCCGGCCGAAGGAACCTTGGATGGGTCCAACTGAGCTTTCTTCAGCTTTTCGCGGCGGAGTTTCAGCGCTGCATCTGCACGGTCGAGGAGTGTCTTCATCACCGAAGCGTGTCGGCATGGGTGTACGCTGGCCATTTTGACGTTGCCATCGTACCATGGGAAGTCTTCGAGGGTAACGGTTTTATCCTTATAGTCACCCACAACATCCTCCATCATCAGGTGTGGCGGTAGGGGTTCAGATGGTGAGAGGTAACCGGACATGTAGAGACGTGGTGTACGATAGAAGTTGGAGTATGTGATGTAGAGATTGTAAGTGCGCGTAGGCCTATATGCCGTATGTTAGAAAGCTGATCGCAGGCGCGGAAGACAAGGCTGGAACAGATAGAGACATACTGCGTGGTACTGGATGTCGGTTCTCTGATAATAGCTTCTTCGTCATCATCCTCATCCTCCATATCGGGTATTTCGTCCTCTTCTTCCTCTCGTTCTCCCATGTTCCCCGACTCATCCACTGTTCGTACATCCTTTATCCTATTCTCTTGTCGGTCCGCAGAATCTTGGCCTCCGCCAGTTCGTAGCCATCCGTCATCATCATTCCCGCCTATTCCCCCAGACAGCATGTCCCTCACAAGCTCATCATCGTGACCCGCATCGCCAGCGAAGTTGTCGTTCAGTCGGCGGTGACAGGGTACGCCTCGGGTGACGAGAAACTGTTTGCCGGGGGGCAGGTAGGAAACGCGCTTTGCAGGGCTAGAAGCGTCGGCCCATGACCACGATGGGAATTTGTAGACAAGGTAGTCGCCTGCGAGAACGAATTCCTCGGGAGTGATCTGACCGGTATTGCGAAAGGTGGAGGTGCGGGACACTGGGGCAAGACGGTCTCTCCAAGTGGAGAGTGTGGAATGGAGAATATTCATAGTAACAGTTGTATTTTTATGCGAGTTGTATCAGGCCAATAGACTGGGGTGTGATACGAGGAGAGGAGAAAGAAAGGAAGGGAGATGCTGTGGTGATCGAAGCAGCTTATCGGTAGTGTGGCGGTCTATGGCGGCACGCGGGGTATATCATGTGGCTGAGGAAACGGATGTCATGGATCACGTCCAACTACATTCCTCTCATAGAACGGTTGAGTCATGCTATTATTTTCTGACTAAACTAAGGCAAATATAACTAGTATATCGGATTCTACATTTCATTGGATAATGTTCGAATAATATGACCAATCATGACCTGTTAAATCCACAGACTCAGCTCGACCCTGCCAGGTATGTTCATGGCCCAAGAGCTGCAGCAAGACCATATTCCTGCCGACAGACTCGTGGCGAAATAAAGATTCCGTCTAGCGCTAAGTTGCCCCAAGGAGAAGCCCATAAAGCAAGAGGACATAATCTCTTCTCCATATAGGGCCGAGCGATACGAGATCTACGCTCGTCCCCACTTCTTTTGTCCGTTGACTCTGACCAACGGTTGATGGAAGGGTAGCATCTAGATGCCCTTCAATGATGTGCGTGCCACAGACGTGAGATAAATGATGCGCATGAAGTCGTTGTCTGTTCTCACTCGCCTTCTGCCATCATTCTTCTCCTCTCAACCTCTGCCTCAACTTCGTCCACGATCATAGGTATCGCCCGGCCCTTCCATTTCTCCATTTCTGCCCGCGCGAAACCCTCCATACTTCTCATACCTACCACTAGAAATCCAAGTTCTTCCCGATCCACATCAAATACTTCCCACCACTCACCATCAACCAACTTTACCCCGACTTCTCGTGCGGCCAAGTATATAGAAGAAACAGCAAGGGCGTTGGGTTGGTGTGTCACATATAACAGTTGTGGTGATAGAAGAGCTGCGTTCAGATGCTCGAACACCCTTTGCGCAACAGCAGAAGATGATACACCGAGGGTTTGAAGGTAGGTTAACGCGATAGTATGGGGTAGGGCAACATGGGTATTGAAACCCAGCGTGCGCAAAATTATCGACTCGGTTCGAAGCAGCACCATTCGCTGGCTCTGGTAACCCCCCTCGGATAGGCAGTATGTCTCAAGGGGGGGCTGCTCTGACACCCCCTTCGGGTTGATGAACCACAAAGGAGATGCGTCCTTCGATACGAGGAGGTTGTAGACGTTCAATACCGATCGTGGTGATGTAGGCTGAAAGGATAGCTTAGCCGTCATATATAAAGCTGCAGCAGAGACATCCTACAAAGTCGTCACATCAGCAATGATTCCTGCTTTAATTTTTGGGATCACGACGTGATTCTAACCTTGACAGAGTAAATTCGAAGACTCCCACCTTCAGCACCTATCCAGAACCTGGTAAACGTCACAATGGCCTGCGCAATGATATCTTGCGACAATCGGAGCAATACCCCAGCAGCTTGAGTGAGTTGAGTGCCGGCAAATCGAATAGATGCTTCTAGCTCTGGAGCAATGCCATCAATAGCTGACGATGAGTTGGATAGTTGTTCGGGTGTTGCGAGAGCGTTGGACAGGTATTTCAGTCCGTCTGCGGATGAACGTGCCATCAGTTATGTTAAAGATATACGAAGAAGCTTCGAACTGGAATGTATGAATGGTTGACGTCTCAATTATTGTTAAATATGCAACTATGGTCTGATGAGGATACTGAAAACGCCTGGATTATGGTAACTGTAGGCAGTTCACTTTCTCCGCCGTGACATCGGCAAAACCGAAGCTTACGCCCGTTGCGACCTTACCGCCTTTTTCTTGTGCCCTTTTAGTAAAGGACAAGTCCGCGGAGTATATAACAAATTGGAGTACTCCAAGAGGCATATTTCTTGCTAGTTCTAAATCTTGTCAGGTTGTATTAATCGGACTCATTAAGCCGAGGCTATATTGTAGTTGAAGTTCATTCATGTCTCGAACGTTACTCAAGAGCTTCGTTCTCGTTTGCTGGCATTGACAAGGTAAAACCACTATGATGCTTCGATTATCTCACGAAGCGATGACCGCTGGAGTCCTCCGTACATAGTCCTCCATACACCTTGATTGGGTGAGGGAAATGCTCATATGCTAGAGGTAAAAATTTCTCGATCAGTCATTGCAGTCCTATGACTGAAGGAATGTGCGCCAAGTTTATTTTGTTCATCGATAATTGGCGGTACCGTTGAAGCCGTTCACTCTGCACGTGCCGAGCGATATGGACATGGACTTTGCCCAAGAGGATCCCTACTATTAGTGGATGTGTTACCGACCTAGTCAGTGGTCATAATATAGAATACTCTATTCACTTGGCTCTTACATTGCAGCTCACGCATCCTGCACAATTTCAGGAGGGCCAAGGCAAATTGGAGTCGTTCTATCTCACAAAGATTGAGCGGATAGGAGATTCGTGCGAATAGGTATGGCCCTAAAAGAGCCCAGTATTAGGTGAGAACATGCAATTTCTGTATGCTCAGCAAGCTTCGTGGGTATCCGGAGATGACAGCTGCGGACCATGGGCCGCAATACGTTTCTTCTCCATTCGTTTCCGTGGTTGTCGTTTCATTCCGTACAGGGGTAAAGAGTCCTCCTTTGATCACCAATACAATCTCGCAATGTGATCAGGGTTGATGCCCACTATATCTGCCACAGATATTTCATTCTGCAGAACGCTGTGATTGGTCGAGTTCATCGGAGGGTCTGATCGACGGGCAGATAATCTTACGGGCTTGAAACAGTGGCTCGAATGTCTGAGATCAGACATTGCAGACCGTCGGTGACCCGTGCGTGACATGCATGCAACTCAATACCCCTTAGGTACGCATGTATAGCTTCTCTTTTCATGGCGTTTCCATATGGAAGTCTTGTAGATGACGTCGTTGAGTATGGGGCAGATTATGTTCAGCAGTAGCTGACCTATGAGGCAAATTGGTCTAATAATAACCGACTAGCCCAGAGATCAACGTTCAGAACGTGTCCAGGATCCATCCTGTCATATTCGCGCATTGCCTCATCGTAGTGGAGTACGGAAAGACGCTGTTCAGCCACCGCATTTTTTCCCCAAACAATATATACCAACCTCTCGTTATTTCCGCGTCTCATAGTAGCCGAATTGTCCCATCGCGTGAAACGATCTCAAACCATCTGAATCGTCTCGTTAGTGCTTCATACTACTGCCAGTCAGTCCCAAAATAAGTGTGACTTACGGGGTTAGATCGAGTATAGAATCTCGCGCATATTTTGGTCTGTCCGTGATAGGGGCACGTGCGGGTCCTAATCGCTATCGCTTGGCGTTTGGAACTTACCAATCTTGAGGTTGTCTGTGACGATTTACCTTCACTACGCGCTTTGATAATTATTGCTCCTGTGTCTCAAGTCATTGGACCTTGTGGAATTGCCATATTCATTCCTCTACCTCATTCTCATTGACTTCGTTCTGAAACCCCCCACCTTCCAACCAAAAGCCAGCAAAGGGACCGGTCAGGTCTCAGGAGGTCACATTCCGCTTCTCCTTTTTCTTGTCTCCCAACCAGGTGTTTGCCGTGGGCGACCGTGCATTGGACCGGACTGCCTACCGACGTGGCATTCCAGCTCTTGTCCAAGTGGTGTGACTGATCGCATACCTTCATAATCTCTGAACCAATAATCCCTTTTTATAACCCTGGTCCCGTCATACGTAACTCGACCATGCTCCAAAACGCCGAACATACCTTGACTACTGCCACGTCTGTCATCAACGCCCCGAGTTCGCCTTCGACAATTTCCCCGACCGAGCGAAGAGGATCGTCCCAGGCTTGCAATGACCCTCAGTCATCCCACCAAGAAGTTTCCGCGACTTCGTTAGTACAGAACTCGCATGCAGCCCTATCGGAGAAACCGTCCCTTCCAACCCAATCTTTCCACCGACGTGCAAATACCGAGATTTTCGTTCGACGACAGTCGCATCTGCCGGCCCGTCAACTCTTTACTGACCAGTCCAAGACACTGGAAGATCTCGACAATAGGGACAGACCCTCGAACCCGCCAACGGAGAATCTCACTAGGAGGAAACTAGGAGAGGGTGCGAAGCTCTTCACAGGCTGGTTTCAGGGCAAGTCTGAACCAGTTAATCTGGGAGTGATGTCTCAGTCAGAGTCTGTAGGAACGTCGACGATGGACGCTCGCGATTTCTTAGGATCCCCTAGGGTCCCTACATCGCGAGCACAGAAGCGTATGACCGCTCCTTCACCTTTAAAGCAGGTAACCTCGTCAAGTCCTTTCTCTTTCTTTGGACTGAAGCGCCAGGAACCCAGACTGGAGCTCCCTGAGCCTGCAGATGATGACCTCTTGAATTTGGACATCGCCGCTGCTCTATTCCCAACCACAACTACTAGTCTCAGCGAACAGGAAGCGTTCGATACTCTGAGGAACAATGCGGAGAACGTCATCAAAAGGTTGCAGGCGGCCTATAAGCAAAGAACGTTCGCCTTACATGAAGCACTAGCCGACAAGAATGAGAAACAAGAAGAGTTGGAAGAGACTCGGACGCGAGTTGGAAACCTGAAGATACAGCTGGACGGCATGGCAGAGAAGGTAAATCAACAAGAAAAAGCTATGAATGCCATGGCGGAGGAGCTGGAACAGGAGAGACAATTGCGCCAGAGAGAAGATGAAGCACGCTTGCGCAGTATCAGGCTCATCAGGTCTAGTGATGATGAGAGCATTTCCGACCTGGGCGCTGACCTTCAAACTCCCACCCGGAGCATGAAGCGTGCTAGCAATGCCACATACGCCAGCGATTCGGGCTTTGATTCGGGCGATGAAAGCCTCACAGAGAGCGTATTTTCGCGCCGGGAAGGCCTCGAATCACCGGCTTCCACGGTAGCTCCTTCTCCAAGCGTCTCTCATATCACATTGCCCGCACCAGTATCGACTCCTCCTCTGAAAGAGAAAGAACTCAAGCCTCTTTCACAAACACCGACACCACGACAATCGGCATATGACCGAGTGCTCAAAGGTATTGCCAGCTCGTGGACGAGTAACTCCAAATGTGGGATCTGCCACGGAGTCCCTGCCTCTGAAGCTTGGAGCGTCCTAGGAATTTTAAAGGAAGAAAACAAGGGCTTGAAGGAGCGACTAGGTGAACTTGAAATAGTCATCGATGACTGCCTGAGTATGGTTGGACCCTAGTTTATCGTCGAAGCGAGCTTCCTTGTTTCTCATGGAATCATACAGCGTCCATGATGTGAAGATATGAACAGTTGATCTTTGGACAGCTCTTGGCTACGATGAAGATGCGTGGTAATTTTCTTTCCTTTGTTTGTCCAAAAATGGTTTGAATGAATTGTTATTATATACCATGATACCTATCCGCCTGAACAGTCTATATTAGATAGATAATGGAATCTACTAGATTTTGAAATATTGTCCGGAACTGCCACCAGTCTGTTGATTCTCATTTATAGTAATGACAATAATAATAATAATTGTATATGTAGCATTGCTTACACTGAGGTATTTCTTCCTATTTGAAGCTAGAGGGGGGTAAAGAGTGATGAAGGAAGCTGTAGGTCGATTGAGGGTCCTACTTCCAATGAACAAGTTAGCTACGTGTCCATAAGTCTATCTTGCATGGCCAACTTGAGTCAGAGTTGAAGAAGGGAGGAGAGATGAGCAAGTGTTGTACTTGGTAGGAGCGGAGGGACATGAGCTAACCCTAGGGAAGGACTAGCTAGTGCTCCGTAATGGCTGGTGAGCAGCTAATCAAAAGGACTGCGGAGGAAAGCGACCAAGTGGCCTCAACGGGTTAGCGCGACTGCGAAAGTGGCCAGCGAGGCGACTATTGCTTCGCACCCGAACTCAACCTCATCGCTCCCTTTCCCTTCCCCATCTTCTTACTTCGACTACCTTCTCTTCTTCTCTTCTTCTTCTTCTTTTTATCCTTGTATTTCCCTTCCGCTCTTTTAGCTGGCTCTTCCACCAGCTTCATTTTCTTTTCTCTTCCCCCCTACTTGATCAAGTATCTGGAAGCTGGAAAGTCACAATGAGCGGACGTGAGTGCCCTGCACGCGATCGCAACCAATTCCTGCGACACCGCACTATCCTCCTTCTCAATGGGTCAACATATACTGATATAGGCAATTAGTTCGCTTCCTTGATCTAATTAAACCCTTTACGCCCCTCCTCCCGGAGGTGGCAGCTCCGGAGACCAAGGTGCCCTTCAACCAGAAGTTGATGTGGACTGGGGTACGTTGATATGCTAGAGCGCGACAGAGCTTTCGAAACTGACAGATTGGCTTCAGTTGACACTCCTGATCTTCTTGGTCATGAGTCAGATGCCTCTCTATGGTATCGTCTCCTCTGACACTTCCGATCCCCTGTACTGGCTGCGTATGATGTTGGCCAGTAACCGTGGTACTCTGATGGAATTGGGTATCACCCCTATCATCTCCTCCGGCATGGTTTTCCAGGTGAGTCCGGACGATTTCACCCCAAAGCTGCAAGTTGGTCAATCAAGCGCCGCTGACTGGCCTATGTCTTCAATAGCTCCTCGCTGGTACCCACCTCATCGATGTCAACCTTGACCTCAAGACCGACCGTGAACTGTACCAGACCGCTCAGAAGCTTTTCGCGATCATCCTTTCCTTCGGTCAGGCTTGTGTCTATGTCTTGACTGGTCTCTATGGTCAGCCAAGCGACCTTGGTGCCGGTATCTGTGTCCTGCTGATTGTTCAGCTTGTTGTTGCTGGTCTTGTTGTCATCCTTCTGGATGAGCTGCTCCAGAAGGGATACGGTCTTGGAAGCGGTATCTCTCTGTTCATTGCCACCAACATCTGCGAGTCTATTGTCTGGAAGGCTTTCTCTCCCACTACCATCAACACTGGCCGTGGTCCCGAGTTCGAGGGTGCTATCATCGCTCTGTTCCATCTTCTGTTGACCTGGTCCGACAAGCAGCGTGCTTTGCGTGAGGCTTTCTATCGCCAGAACCTCCCTAACGTCATGAACCTGCTGGCTACTCTCCTTGTTTTCGCCGCTGTCATCTACCTCCAGGGTTTCCGTGTGGAGATCCCCGTCAAGTCCTCTCGCCAGCGTGGAATGCGTGGATCTTACCCCGTTCGTCTCTTCTACACCTCTAACATGCCTATTATGCTTCAGTCCGCTCTGTGCTCCAACATCTTCCTCATCAGCCAGATGCTGTACTCGCGCTTCTCGGACAACCTCCTTGTCAAGCTTCTCGGAGTCTGGGAGCCTCGTGAGGGATCCGCCCAGCTTTACGCTTCCTCCGGAATCGCTTACTACATGTCTCCTCCCCTCAACTTCAAGGAGGCTCTTCTCGACCCTATCCACACCGCTGTTTACATTACCTTTATGCTGGTTGCTTGCGCTCTCTTCTCCAAGACCTGGATTGAAGTCTCTGGCTCCGCCCCTCGTGACGTTGCCAAGCAGCTCAAGGACCAGGGTCTTGTCATGGCCGGCCACCGTGAGCAGAGCATGTACAAGGAGCTTAAGAGGGTTATCCCTACTGCTGCTGCCTTCGGTGGTGCTTGCATTGGTGCTCTTTCCGTTGCCTCCGACCTCCTTGGCGCTCTTGGCAGCGGTACTGGTATCCTTCTTGCCGTGACGTAAGTCTTCACCCCTGTTTACTGTCTTCTGCTTTCCGCTAACAATGTTCCAGCATCATTTACGGATACTTTGAAATCGCCGCTCGTGAAGGCGATATTGGTTCAGGCCTCAAGGGCCTTGTTCCTGGTAACTAAACAGGAACTTTCACACTTTTTTTTATGAACAGCATGAGAAAGAAGGATTGTAGGTTCGCTATGCTTTTGTATTTCTCGTTCATTCCCGGGTGATGCGCTACTGCTGTGGCCCTCTGGATTTTGGGTGTATGTCTAGTTTTGCTTGAAAGGCAATGAATGGAAAAGCGAGGCTGCAGCTGTATATAGCATAAACCTGGTTTGTAACCATATATTCTATAAAAGATTTTAAAATGATATCTAATTTGCTATGACAAAAGATGAAACAGACATTGTAAGTGCGTGCGTACTATATAGTATTAGAATCCCGCATCGCAAATACATGTCGGTACACTAGAATGGGTATACAATACACCATGGCACTACACCCTCCAGCTTAAGTTCTGTAGTCGCCATTGATAGTGACATACTCATGGCTGAAGTCACAGAACCAGTAAACAGCCTCCTCACCACCAAGACCCTGCTCACCCTTCTCACCACCGCCAAGGTCAACAACAATCTCCAGATCCTCCTCCTGGAGAATAACACTAGCACGCTCCTCATCGACCTGTTCCGGCTCACCGTTCACCAGCAAGTTCAACACGGGGCTACCATCAACAGGCTTGAAGCTAACGCTTGTGCGCTCAGGAACGACAGTTCCCGGCGCCACGCCCTGAGTATAGCCAATAGCGCAAAGGATACGACCCCAGTTCGCATCCTTACCATACAAGGCCGTCTTAACGAGCGGGGAGCGGGCAATGGTAGACGCAATCAACCGACCGGATTCATAGTCGGGGGAGTTCTGGATACGGACAGTAACAAACTTCGTGGCTCCTTCGCCGTCGCGCACAACGAGCTGAGATAGCGACTGTGCGAACGAAGTCAGAATCTCCTGCATTGCGGCGTAGTCGTCCGACGAGGCGGAGTTGATGGGTGCTCCGCCTGCGGCGCCGTTGGCGAGGATGGCGATTGTGTCGTTGGTGCTGGTGTCGCCGTCGACGGAGATGGAGTTGAACGAGCGATTGACGGAGTGCTTGAGGAGGGACTGGAGGGCGGAGGGTTCGATTGGTGCGTCGGTGCACAGCACGCCGAGGAGAGTGGCCATGTTCGGGTGGATCATACCGGCTCCCTTGGTCATGCCGGCGAGGCTGTAGGTGCGGCCTGGGGAGGAGGGGAGCGTGAATGTGCGGGAGAGAAGCTTGGGGAAGGTATCCGTTGTGCAGATTGCGCGGGCCGTGGTGAGCCAGGCGTCATGCGTGGAGGAGAGGTTGGAGTGGGCTACTGGGACCTTGCTGAGGATCTTCGAGATTGGGAGGCTATGGTATGTTTTGTTAGTATAGGTTTTGGTTAAAGCTGGAGAGGTCTATGAGGGCATTGCATACCGTTGGCCGATGACACCGGTACTCATGACGAGCGTGCTGGGCTCCTTGAGTCCGTCGCATTCGTCTACCTTCTTGCCCATGCTCACTGCATCTTCCAGACCTCCTTTGCCGGTGACGGCATTGGCGCAGCCTGAGTTGATCACCACGGACCGGATGCCTTGACCCTGGCGGGTTTTGAGGATATCCTTGCTCACTTGCACCGGCGCAGCTGGAACTTGTTGGTGGTGAACACAGCTGCGGCAGAGCATGGCGTTTCGGACGAGATCAAAGCGAGATCGGGGAACCTGGTGTTCGACGCTTTGACTCCAACATGTGTACCAGAGACGACGAAGCCTTTTGGGTACGATCCGGACGAGGGAATGAACTTCCGCTTGGAGGCAGGAATAGCCATATCCACAGGTGCGGAATAATTGCGCACTTGGCCCTTCACCATTCTGGCGAAAGCAGCCATTGTGGCTGCGGGTTGAGCTGGAGAGGCCATTGAGCCTGTAGAGGGTGAACTGCGGTCAGTATAAGTGCAGTTCTGGAGGATACGTGTTGCAGACACAGTACGTACAATAGAGGCTCAAGGAAGCGGGGATGGTTTGCGGGGAGATTCTATAGTTGATAGGGCGGAAAATGACTCAAAACACAAGTCGATGATTAAATGACTCAATGCCGTCCGCTTTTAGGCTAGTGGACAGACACACCACAGCCAAAGCCCAACAGCGAGTCTTGGATCAGAACTGAGATAGAGATTCCCAATTCAAAGGTGAAAGTTGGAAGTACTCGAAATCCACACCGGCCGATGGAGATCCATCTCAGCTTGCAGCTCCGATACCGCGGAGTCGGATAAATAGTCGGTCCTGAGCTTTGTTCTCAATCAATAAACCGCGTTCCAGGCGCGCCGAGAAAAAGCCACGAGGGATAAAGGACTAAATATTCGCATTCCTAATAGCGCTCCTTGGTTCGGCCCTTGCATCTTGCTCTGCTTTTCTCTGGCTTACCAGTCGCGTCCGGATGGTATTTGCTTTCCCGCTACCAATTGCGTTTTGTGCTTGGAACCTACTGACATGAAGCGCAAACAGACGGATTCGGGCGATGAGCGTCCTGTCTCGACGCCCAAGAGACAGAGGACGGCAGCATTTAATGGTTCGGCGAATGGATACGAGAATGGAGAAACCCCAGTTGGAGCGTCGCCGTCGAAACGGATAAAGTCGACACCCCAGAAGCCCAGCACGGCGACACCCGCAGCATTGAAAGAATCCGGGCTGAAAACGCCTACACAAAAGTCCAAGGCAAAAGCTTTATTTTCAACTCCTAACAAATCTGCTGCTGTCTCCACCCCTTCGAGAGTACGGAACGCGGACCGATCAGCGAAGAAGAAAAGCGCACGTCTTCTTCTCGAACAAGACGACGAGGAAGACTGGGACGGAGCTGATCGCCTGGCGGAGGAAATTTTGCAGGACGACAATGATGCGACTGCTGCAGAGAATGGGGGTGGTGTAGTCGAGACGGTCGAGGCAGAGGATGAAGCAAACAAGACTGCCCAAACACCAAAGCGCCGAGCAGGAAGACCGAAGGGTGCGAAGAACAAGCGCTCTCCCACTCCGGAGGGTGAACTCCCGGCCCATGAGCGGTACTTTTTTCAGAATCGAGCCGGGCCTCCGCGGACATCAAACAATACACTGAATAAGGTCTCCCTATTAACACACGAAGAGTACTTTGAGAAGATGGCACAGTACACAGACCCGTGTCAGGAAGAGAAGGCATTTTTACTCGATGTACACCATCGGTCATTCCCGCAATGGAACTTTGAGTTTGAACAAGGATATAATATCTGTCTGTACGGGTACGGCTCGAAGCGTCCCCTACTGCAGAATTTCGCCGAGTGGCTATATCAGAAGAATAATTCTTCCCCTCCATCCATCGTGGTGGTCAATGGGCATACACCGAACATTTCCATTCGGTCAATATTCGCTACGATTGTCACCGCCGTGCTCGGTGCTGACATTCCCTCCAAATTGGGTTCTCAGCCGATAGAGGTGCTGGAGTTGTTGCAGTCTGCGCTGAAATCACGCTCATCACAACGGCCAATCACCGTCCTAATCAACTCCATTGATGCACCACCCCTTCGCAGAGCTGCGACCCAAGTCCTCCTTGCACGACTCGCTGCTACGCCCAAAATCCACCTCCTTGTAACGGCCGATACACCGAACTATTTGCTGATGTGGGACATCAGTCTCCGTGATCAGTTCAATTTCGTCTTCCACGATTGCACAACATTTGCAGCGTTCGACACCGAGTTCGATGTTGTAGAAGAGGTGCATAACCTGCTTGGCCGCAAGGGGCGTCGTGTTGGGGGTAAAGAGGGTGTCGAGTTCGTGTTGAAGAGTCTTCCGGAGAACGCACGGAATCTGTATCGCCTGCTCCTAACCGAAATCATATCAATGTTCGATGAGGGCCATAACTCGGATGATGAAATGGATGGTGGAGCAGGACACGACGGGGATGGAAAGGATGAAGTCGGTATTGAATTCCGTTCGCTGTACCAGAAAGCTACCGAAGAGTTCATCGCTTCCTCCGAGATGATGTTCCGGACGCTGCTGAAGGAATTCCACGACCATCAGATGATCACGTCAAGGTTGGACCCAAGCGGCATGGAAATTCTGGGCGTGCCGCTTCCGCGCGACGAAATGGAGGGAGTTCTCGAAGACTTAGTGTTGAGTTAATGGTCGGTATTTCAGACGGCGCCATACATGTTCATGATACCCCTGTATAACAATGTATATAATCTCTGGCAAGGTAGTTAACTAATTTGGATCTATCAAGGTAATTCTCGGTTTCCCGATCTCCAGTAGCCTTATGTATCTATATAGATTACAATCCTTTCCAATAAGCACCATAAATCACCTCATCTATCATTCTCACCACCAACATAGTAAGTAAAATCAAAACTGCGCAAACGCCGCCAGCGCCATGGTAGCCCCAAAACTAATCTTAAACGGCTTATGCTGCGACACAGCCTTCTGCACATTCACCCCTTTGACAAGCCCCTGCAACTGATTCACAGGAATCACATTATACCCCATCGCAGCAGCCCACTACACCCCATCCCCAAAAGACATCAGCCAAAGGCCCATCCCAAGGAAAAAACAAAACAAAACAAAAAACAACGAACATACCTCAATAAACACAACTCCCATGCCCAAAAGGACAACCAAAACCCTCGAGAACGCCCTCAATCCCACCCCCACAACCAGCCCGAGGACACTCCCTAGACTCACCTGTCGCATATTGGACGCCGTTAACCACCCGCTTGGAGAATTGTGTTTCGTGGCTCCTTGTTTGAGTAGCACCGGGTCGCTGCGGTCAACGGCCCAGGCTGAGTCTGGGGAGGCCTGCGACTCGGGTCGGTAGTTGGGGGCGCTGTATTGGCACTGCATTGGGGAGGATCGGAAGGGGGAAAGCGGACTGAGGGAGAGACCAAGTCCGACGCCGAGGACGGCTGAGGTGCGGGCGAGGAGGAATGACATGTTTGGGTGTATCCGATGGGTTACCGTGGGGGTATAGGAGATTGGTTGGTTTCTTGGAATGGCGGTTAGGTGGTAGAGCCTTTTTTGATGTGGGAGGAAGCTTCTTCAAGGAATTGAGAGTGGGAAT